TATGCACAGAAAGCACAGCTAGTTCAATCCTTGGCACCCACAGTCACTCAAGTACATTTCCTTATGCAAACCTTTGTACTTGGCCATGCAGCACAGAGGCTGCCTGCTGATGAACCACTGTCTGCTGCTTCATTGGGGCATCCTGCAGGGGAACTGGCATGTTCAGAATGTCTTGTTTTGTTTTTGTAACTGTGAGTGTGTGGCAGTGAAGGATTCAATGGCCACAGCACAATGGCACAATGGGTGCCACCACCTAAATTGCTGTGAAGGCGCCAGTGTTCTTGCCCACCATTGCTTTGGCACATTCGTGCAAATGCCGATAGAGTGAGAAGGCAAAAATAATGTCTGAGTATTATTCTAAAGATAGTTTTGACCTCACAGACCCCCGAGGGAGTAGAGACCACACTTTGAGGAATGCTGCTCTTGTCTGTTATTCAACAAGCCTTTACCGAAAGCTGAGTGGGTACAAGTTCCTGGGAAACACACTCAACTCGCCACCCTCAAAGGGTACTTAGATCTTGCTTATTAGATAGTAACTAAAATTAACAGCTAACATTTATGAGATTCCTATTCTGTGCCAGGAATGGTGTGCCAAGGCCCTGTATCATTAGAAAACTGGGTAATTTGGGACAATTTAACAGAGACTTTTTATAAAGATGTGGACAGAATTCAGGTAAAACAACAAGAAATGATAAAGGATCGGGGCTAAGAACCCCTAGGCCAGGAGAAGTATGGGAAGGAGTGGTTCCTGGAATTAGAGCAGACAGCCAGGAACTGTGGCCTTCTGAGGAGGGGTACACCAGCCTACTGTGACTCTTCTAGAGTAGCCAGCAGACTAAATCCTGTGGCCTCTTTCTCTTTCTACACTCCAGTCCCCTGCCGGTTCCTCTCACTGGTCAAATCCAGCTGGAAGCCACAGGACGAGGCTGTCTATGGTTACTGTTCATCTAGGTGACAAAGGGGAGAGAATGGATCTAGAAGGATGAATGCAGGCTACTCACTTGGAGCAGAACTTTATTTGTGTCCTCTCATTTAATTTAACTAACCCAGTAAGATAATACTACTGAGCTCTCATCTTGAAGATGGGCAAATTGAGGCTGGAAAGGTAAAGCAACATTGGCACTGTCTGGATTAAAGGAGACCCAGATTTCACAGTCTTTACATCATATTGCCTGGCAAACAGGCAGGTGAGAAAAAGGCAACGTGGGTTTCCTCCAGTGAGCTGCTTCCGAGGAGTAGTTTGACAACTAAAACTATGTGCCGGGGAGCTGTTTTTCCTTCTTGCAAGACTGTGTACTGCCTTCCCGTTCCTCCCAAGTACTGTTATTCTAGCCAGAGACCCCCTGGACAAGGCAGGAACTCAGCCCCAAATTCACAAACATGTCCTGGAAGCAGCTGGGGAGTCATTGTTGGGTTCCACAAAGAGCCCTCTCACCATCCACCCTTCACCCCAGCTGACTGCGACACTCCCTGCCACGACACTCCCTGCCACGACACTCCCTGCCACGACACCCAGTGCACTTTGATGAGTTAAATGAAAATAACAGTAACCAGACAAATCAAAGTGAATGGAGGAAAGTTTTATATATATATATAGTATTTGGCAGTACTGGAATCTGAACTCAGGGATTTGCGATTGCTAGGCAGGTGCTCTATTGCTTTAGCCACACCTCTAGCCCTCTTTGCTCTGGTAATATTTTGGAGATAGGGTCTCACTTTTTGCCCTGGCCATCCTGGACTGCACTCCTTCTATTTTAGGCTCCCTGCTATAACTGAGATGATAGGCACATGCCACCATGCCCAGTTTTTTTGTATTGAGATGGGGTCTTGAGACCTTTTTTTTTTGCCTGGGTTGGCCAAAAACTACGATCCTTCTGATTTCAGTTAGGATTACATGTGTGAGTCACCAGTGCTCATCTTCCTCCTTCCCACCCGTTCTCTCTCCTCTTTCCCTTTTTCTTCTCTCTCTTTCTTGCTTGTGATTTTTTTTTTTTTTTTGAGACAGGGTCTCACTACATAGCCCAAGCTGACCTCCAACTCAAGATCTTCCTGCTCCATCTTCCCAAGGGCTGGGATTATTGGACCATGCCACTATACCTGGCTTTGATTTTTCTTTTTTAATGATCATATTTAATATGGGATCCAGAGTTCCTAGAGGACATTCTGGAATTATTAAAAACTTAAAGTTCTAACTTGGCCCTTTGTTAAAGCTTTCTCAATGCCTTAGGAGGACTTCAGGGCTGAAGTCACATTTTATGGACAAAACAGGCAAGGCCCCTCTATTGGGACTTCAACTCAAGCTGGCTTACTTGAGCTGAAGGGAACTAACCCTGACTTGGTGTGGCCAGGCTGATCACTTGGTTAAAGAAAACAGCAGGCTTTCATTGATTCTTTTTCTTGTTTTTTTTTTTTGGGGGGGGGTTTGAGGAGTGGGCTAAAGTTTGGTAATTGACTTTTTTCAAATTATATTCTTGTGCGCAAGCATCCTGGCTTTATACTTGGTGAGCTAATGGCTGGTGAGTTAACCCAGGAACTGCTGAACTCCTCCTGTTGCTGTGTCATCATCTTGCATAAATGTCCTGGTTTTGTGACAGGGCTGAAGGATTTTCAGTGTGTCAGTTGCTGAGATAGTACAGGGATGGGTAGAAGAAACATATCCATTCCAATAGGCCAAGTTAACCCTGTATTATAGTCTTGGACAAAGCATTTCTCAAATAATCAACATGTCTACATGCAGAACTGAGTAGAGTCTGACTCCAAGGTTGAGGAGCAAAGGGGACAGATACAATATGAAGACGGAGATGCCAGACATCTTATCCCATTCTAGTCATCTATTAGATATCTATGGGTTGTAGTGAAGAGTCAGTGTTTTTAGCAAAGGAGGCCTTCAAGTTTTTACAAAGTAACCTAGGCAACTGTTATCACAAGCCACCTGTCAGAGGTGCTATCTACAGTGAAGCTAGTGGGTAGATAATAATGTATTGCTCAGCTGCGTGGTCTTCAGAATTAGTGATTTCAGAGTAAACTAAGAGCAAGCAAAGATACAGGGCTTATTTCTTTGCTTGTCATTTGTTTGGGCATCTTGAACCCCACTAATTTTAGCTCAAGCGAGTCATAAGGGGAACCTAGTCTGTAAATACTCTGACCTTATGGCCTTATCAGGTGTTTTATGAGAAAGCTGTTGCAAGAATGCAAGTATGCACAGAGTGCTTTCAACAGGTAACAGGTTGAGGGTCCAAGGTTTATTTGCCTTTTGTCCCTTTGTGGTGGTCACTACCTGTTTCACAACCATGTCGTAGCACTTACCATACCTTCATTCTCTAAGATTGTCATGTTTCCTTATAAGAAGGTACCACAATTTACGTATCCACTCATATGCTGATGGACATCTGAATGGTTTCTGCTTTTTGGCTGTGATGAGTAATCTGCTGTGAACATCTGTGTATGAGGTTCTACATTCTTTGTCATTTCTCTTGGGCACCTCTCCAGCAGTGCAATTGTTACTAGATGAAATGTTAGATGAATGCTAGCTCTGTGTCTAACATTTTGAAGAACCACCAGACTCTTTTTACAAAATGCCCTTCTATTTTTTTATTTTCAAGTCATTTCATTTGATATTAGTATAGTGATTCTTGTTTTCCTCTGGTTATTTCTTGCCTTTAAAAATATGATTTTATCACAAATGCATGTAGTAATAAGTAATGTATTAGTTACATTTGTTTTGAATTTTATTAAAAATAGCAAGTGTTCTACTTGGATTTGCTGTTTTTACTCAGCATACTATATATATATATTTTTTTCTTTTTTGTGATAGTGGGGATGGAACCCGGGGTCTTGAACATGCTAGGCAAGCCCTCTACTCCAGAGTTACATCCCTAGCCCTTTTTTTTAATGGTTATAAAGAGAGTTTATTAAAAGTTAGTGAAGAGAAATACAAAGGGAAGTATGGTGAGGCCCAGGTGGAAGCAGGAAGCCAAGAGTGTGTGTATCTGCTCTTCAGAGTTCTTTTTTTTTTTTTTTCATAGTCATAGCTATTCATATACATTATTTTATTTATTTATTTATTTTATTTCTTTCATTCATATGTGCATACAATGTTTGAGTCATTTCTCCCCCCTTCCCCCCACCCCCTCTCTCTCCCCCCCTACTCCCACGAATCCCTAGCCCTTTAAAAAAAATTTTATCTTTGGACAGGGTCTCACTTTAAAGCCCAGGCTGCTCTTGAACTAGTGGTCCTCCTGCCTCAGTCTCACCAGTGCTGGGATTACAGGTATGCACCTCCATGCCGGGTTCAACATGCTATTTCTAAGACCCACCTGTGTTGCTGTAGAAGCTATAATTGTTTTGTGTTCATTGCTGTAACATATTCCACTGTATGAACTACCATAATCCCATTGGAGATTGGCATGTTTCCAGTGTTTTGCTGTCGAAAACACAGCACTTCTCTGAACATTCCATATACCTCTCTGGGGTAAGAGTTTCTCTCATTTTCACAGTGACCAGCAGCAGCGCCAGCCAGCCAGCCAGTCAGCCAGGAATTTGTTAGAAATTCAAATTCCTGACCCACTGAATCAGTAACTCTTGAGGGTGGGCCCAGTCACCTGTGTTTTAGTAAGGCCTCCTGGTGACCCCAATAAAGGTTGAGTCCCACTGCTTCAGGGTTTGAACTGGGAGTGACACTTCTGGATTGCAGACGTGCCCTCCAGAGCTGTGGCTTGGTGTTATACTCCACTAGCAGTGTGCATGAGCTCTTGGGTGGTGCGCACGTCCTCAGCCTGAGGATGTCAGATTTCTTTATGGCATTCCTCGTTGGCGGGTCTGACTGGTCTTCCCCACCAGAGATGTGGGTGCCATGGGTGGGTTTCTCCTCCCCACCTGTCGTCTTTCCTCCCTCAGCCAGGCTGTGTCCTGCTTCTGGAAGCAGATCTGCTCCACACACATGGGCAGCTCGGCTGCCACCTTGGACAAAGCCTCCCTTCACTGTGGGTTTGCCCCTACAGGAGTACATGCACCACCTGCTGGCCCTGGAGCATGGTGCTGAGGAGCAGTTCCTGGAGCACTGGTTGAACCCTCACTGCAAGCCCCACTGCGACAGGAACATGGTCCACCCTGTGTAAGGGAACTGAGTCCTCTCGGTATGTCCCTCTGCTGAGTGGGGTGGCTGTGGACAGTATGAACGTGGCCTGGGAGACCTCTAGAACCTGGTGCTGGGGAGCCAGTGGTTAGCTGCTTATGGGTCCTGCCAGGACAGCCAGGCAGATGAGAGCCAGATGGGATGGACACTGGGGGAGCAGAACTACCAAGGGACCCCAAATAGGGGAAGGAGAGGATTCTATTTGCCATCTAGAATCTGCAGCTGGATTGTAGAAATTTGGGTTTCTCCAGGTGGGGTCAGCATCTGAGGGCTTGACCTGCCTGTGACATTCACCGTAGCCATCAGCACTGTGACCCTGATCAGCACCTTTTCCCCTGGACCTTGCTCCGGGTTCCCACAGCCTCCTCACAGCATTCTGTGTAGTCTGCCCTCCATCTTCCTTTGTTGTCCGGGCTTGCTCTCCCAGGCCACCTGTGGCAGGCTGCTCTGTGCTGCCAGCATGCCCTTCATACACGCTTCTGCTCCCCTACTCCTAGATGAGGCAGATCACTTCTCCCTGATTGTCCATCCGTCTGTCCCCATCTCCTTCCCCCCCTTTCCAAATCCTTTTGAATAAGGTAGCAAAATCCCATCAGGAGTTAAATCCAGTGAATTTCATTCTTTCTCTGCAATTTTTATGGGCTGAGAAGGACAGGACATTAATGGCTGGTGTGTTATGTATGGTTAAGAGTGATCTTATCTTTGTTGCTGTTAATTTTGTGCTGCTGTGAATTGGCATAGAGACACTCCCTTTAAAGTATCACTGTATAGATTACATAGTGTTCTTATTTGGCCCTCTTAATACCCCAGTGACATTGCAGCACATACATTTTTAACTCCATTTTATGGAGAAGCTATCTTAGCATGGTGAAGTTCCTAACTCATGCAAGGCAGGGGTTGGCGTGCTGATCTTCTGACAACTCCAAGTCCTGTGAGATTTATGTGGACTTGTCACTTGGCCCTATGTTGGAGGGAACCTCTGTGAGGGGACCTATTCAGAAAGACAGAGAGGGGATTTCCAGTGAGAATGGAAGAGAAGTTCTACTTCTGAGAGTTTGGGCTGCCACCCCTCTTCTGGTCCTTTCAGGGCCCTGTTCCAGGTCAGTACTGTGATGTGCCCGGAACTGGCTTCTGACACCCACCCTGCTACCTTCCCCTGGACCTTCGTCTTCCATCATGGAAACTCTTGCTTGCCTTCTTCCAGAAAACAGAACTGTGGAGTAGTTAGATGCTTATATTCTGGAACTGGTCCCAGCTCAGTTAGCCTCTTTGTGACCCAGCTCTGTGGCCTTGGACAAGCTGCCTCACCTCCCTAAGTCTTATTTCTGCATGTATAAATTAGGGTAATGATGTGTAGGGAGACTGGTCCTCAGTAAATGACTCCTTAAATGGAAGCACTTGTCTCCATGGTGCAAACTAGTGAGAGGATGGGTTTCTGGGTGTGTGGGGTCCCACTGTGTATCCTTCAAGGGTGACTCAGACTTCCACTCAGGAGGACAGGCCCTGTTGGGGAGCCAAAGGCCTGGCTCCTGCAAACATAAGGTTCCACTGGGGCCTTAATCCAGCAGCACTTACACGAGGACAAGGAAGCAGTGGCTGGAGAGATGTGTCACTTTGGAATTTGGATTCAACCAGCTTTCAGATCCACTAGTCACTGGCTGCATGGGAAAAAATGCTTGACTTCTGTTAACTTATCTGTAAAGTGAGGACAGTGAGAGCTCCTCACTCATGGTTGGTCTGAGGATTAAAAAGTCAGTGCATAGCTGGGCTCTGGTATCTCATGCCTGTAATCCTAGCTACTTGGGAGGCTGTGAGTGGGAAAACTGAGGATTGAGGCTAACCCAAACAAACAGTTTACAAGACCCCCATCTCCAAAATAATTGGAGCAAAATGGACTGGAGGTGTGACTCAAATGATAGAGCGCCTGCACAAAGCCTTGAGTTCAAACCTTAGTTCCATCAAAAAAACAAGACCAAACCATACCAAACCAAACCAAACCAAACCAAAACCAAAACAAAACATGTCAGTGCATGGAAAATTGAACTTCTGCGGCACACGTAGGAAGTGTTCAGAGAGTGACATTTGGATGGCTGTTTCCTCCTCCTTAGTCTCCTCCCTCCCCCCTTCCTCCTCCTCCTTCATCATCTCTATCACCACCATCCTAACATTATTTTCTGGTTCTTTTCCTGCAAGCATTTTGATAGGTAGTGACAAGGAGAATGCTGACACAGGATTTTAAACTGCAGAAAAGGGAAACAGATGTCTTCAGACCTGGTGAACCCATGCTCTTGTGGACATGCCGAAGTTTGCTGTGGTGATGGAGGCAAATACAGTTTCTGCTTCTTTTACTAGCCTGCATTAAATAATTAAAAACTAATTCTTTATGGTTAAAGCTCCTGAAGAGCTTCCTATTGACTTGGAATGTGGGCAGAACTAGTGTTCCCTGGAGCTGATGGAGCTGGGTAGGCTGCTGAGTTGTGGGTCATCTATTTTTTTTTCTCCCTTTTCCTGTACTAATAAACAATTGTGTTAAATCTCCTTTCTGTGGTGTCTCTTTCCTTTCCCTGCAAGAAGGGGCATGGAGATTTCCCTCCCTTATTTATCTTTGTACATCAGGGTCAAAAATGGACTGTTCTTTGAACATATGAATGAATGAAAATATGAACACAATTTCACATAAGGCCCTCCTTTTGTTTTTGAAAGGCCACTTCTGAAAATAGAACCCTAACTCAGCATCAGGTGCACACCCTAGGCTTCTAGCAAAGGAGACATTTTATTGTGGAAAGTGGGGTGTTGCTAGAACCCCATTGCCCTCACCTGTCCCTTGGTCTCAAGATTAGAGATTAGACATCAAAGATCAACAAAAGCGACATTGGGAGGGCAAGGGAAGGTGGCTGAATGTTCCAGGTAAAGGAGAATCTGACCTTCTCCAAAAAAGGGTAAGGTGAGATGCTCCACACAGAGGAGGGCCTGTCCCAGGGGAGGCTGGTGGGCTTGTCTAGGGAGAGAGTTACTGAATCTTCTCAGAATAAAAATGGAGTTGCTTGTGTCAACCCTACCAGAAAAAAAAAAATAAAGCTAGTAGGTTATGAAGGAAGGGTTCTTAGCATGATTACCCGATAGCAACTACCACAAAAAACCTGCCAGAACCACAAGCTTGTCCAAAGGTCACTGAAACCTTAGACAAAAAGTACTTCTGTAAGAACATTTGTCCAGCAACTGTCTGCAATTTTGGACTGATGCCACTCTTGTTATTAATCATCGTGACCAAGGATTATTGTTTCAAAAGATCTAATGCAATGCTTCTCATTTTTGTCTTTGAAAAATTCCCCTTGCTGCCACCTCTTTGAACATTCCCACAGTTTAATATGACATGCATGTTCCCACTGCAATAAATACCTTCCCAATAAATGTCATTTTATTTGAGAATTCCTCTCTGATATTTAGGTCGACAATAATCATACCAACACCTGTTTTATGCTTAGTGTAGGGGCAAACCCTGTGCTAGGGTTTTACAGGCAATATCTTAACTATTATCACATCTACTCCATGTAGCAGATACGGTTATTATCCCCAATTTATAGATGAGGAGACCGTTTATGGAATTTTGGCAGTGCATTTATCTTTAGCCTCAATCATACCAAATTACTGAGTGGCTTAAGACAACACAAGTTAATTACTGTACATTCTGCATGTCAGAAATTCAACATGAGTCTCACAGGTTAACATCAGGGTGTCAATAGGCTGTGTTCCTTTCTGGAGGGTGTGGGGGTGATTTGTTTCTCTGCTTTCCCAGCTTCTCAAGGCTGCCTGTGTTTCTTATCTGGGGCCCCTTCCTACATCTTCAAGGCCAGCAGTGTGAATTGACTCTCACATCACGTCATTCCAACTTTTTCTTCTGCCTTCTTTCACCTTTAAGGTCTGTTGTAACATATTAGGCCCCTTCAAATAACCCAGGAGAATCTCCCCATCTTAAGGTCAGCAATCTTAATTCTTCCTGCCACTTGAATTTCCCATTACCATCTAAGGCATCCTATTCACAGGTTACAGGAATTAGGACCTAGTTGGACACCTTTGGGGAGACTATATTGTGTTGCCCACTTTCAGTTGCTTGTTCAAGTTCACATAGCTGGCAGGTTGGAGGAGCTGAGATCTGGATTAGGACTCCCTTAACTGAACACTCTGTGCCTCTGCTCCGGGCCTGATACCTTCTGCCTTGAATTAAGTGGGTTATAAGCCGAGTTCCTTGAGGGTTCAGGTTGTGTCTTTATCAGGGTACAACTGCAGCCCTCACCTAGGGCCATCAATTGATGCCCTTCAGAGTCTATGCTAGACTCTGAAGTTTAGCACAGCGACTTGCCCAGGTTATGTGAAGTAGTGGCAGACAGATGCTCCTGGCCAGGCCACCTCCTCACCTGCCTTTCAGGGTGTTTCACAAGAAGTAGGGACTAACTATTGCATGTGGGATGGAATGCAAAGGAATGAGAGTAACAGGGTCCAACAGAAAAGTGAGACCAGAACAAAAATTGACTCATAGAGAGGTTGGGGTTGGTGTCCAGGCTGAGAAGGAAGGGCTTCCTTAAAGTTCTAGGGTGCTTGGATGGGGCTCATACATCAGGAGCCAAAGCTCCCTATAAGAACAGTGGGAATTCTTTTTTTGTTTTTTTTCCTTTTGGCAATACTGGAATTTGAACTCAGGATCTTTCACTTGCTAGGCAAGCAAGAAGGGATCCTTGATCAGTCATATTTACCCTGGTTCTCATCGTCCTCCCCCAGACACAAGATGCATAAGTTTCTCAGAACACCTCGCAGTTTACAGCTCCCTGCATCTTCACCTTCCTTTTACTCACAGCAGCTTCTTGAAAGACAGGAGAGTGAGAGCAATGGTGTTTGGATCATCTTGACAGAGTTCAGGATCCAGGCTTAGAGCTGGACTCCCTGTATTCACATTCTGATTCCACCATGGACTATGTGCCTTTGGTC